GTCGGAATTACAGAACAAAACATTGAACTTACAAGTCTACGATTCGCCACGGCCGGAAAGCAGCGTCTTGAATGTCGCCAGCCGTGTGAACACATTAGTGCGAAAGAGGACAAGCAGCCGACTGCGGCGGCCTGAGAGATACGAACGACGACAGAAAAACACGAACAATAAGAGATGAGGATGGCCTCGGAAGACTGAAGCTTTGTCGGCGAGAAATGGCGATACAGGAGAAATGTAAAGACCCAGGACAAGTGAACAGTGGGAAAGCATTAATGACAGGACATCAGACCTAGGCAGGGAAAAGGTCTAGCGAGCTCGTTACTAGATAACCCGCAATCCGAACGCCAGGTGGAATAGGAAGACCACAGATCGACGCGACAAGGTGAACTTTCTAAACCTGGCGATCTCAGCACTTTTGGGGAGGAAGGCCACTGTGAGAAACCGTATAAACTGCAGAAATTCGACCATACAACTTCCTACATATTTTCTGTGGCTGGACCTGATGCATCAGATGAGGCTCGCTCTGCGCCAAGGAGCTCAGTCGTCGTCCAGCTTTCGTCGCTGCCTAGTCTCCCGTAAGCAGACCTTAACACGATACCCCAGCCTGCACCAACCTCTCTGTTAAGGCAGGTCTGGTTGTGTGACGTGGACCATGGTCAATCCTCACTTCTAAAGTTCCGTTGCGCCGCTCTTTCATCACCGACGAGCGCGTGGTCAGGCGTAAGCGGTCGATAGGCATTCCTTGCCACGAAACCACGGCAGATTGGCTATAGACTGAGGAAGGCAAGTGAAGCCTGAGACCTTGAGACCTTAGGCGGACGTGATGACACTGCGCTTGTTAATGTATCAAAGAACGAACCTCGAATACCCTGTACCGTACACCGTTAGGAACTCAAAAGGGTCTGACAGCGACAGCGTTGCATCCACTGGGATAGATTCGGAGCCATACTGTTCATCGTCAGTATCTCCATGTGGAAAAAATTGTGCTTATCTTCAAGTACTTACTTACCTCAGTAAGCAGGATATCCACGCCCTCGTGCAAGGATAGACCGTCGCAACTTCGCAGGTCTTATCACGATCCGATCGAACACAACTACGTGCGTACTCCCTCGTTCTCCCCGTCTAGGGAACCGCATGAAAATTGCGGAGCCGGGCCACAACGAAGCGCACGCTAGATGTAGCCTGACGATACCAGTGCCTTCATCCCGAAGATCGCGCGTCGCACTTGGGTTTCGTCGCGAGTCGCCCCCATGCCGTCTCGCGGGGCCCACTAGCCTGGTGAAAGACAAAATGGGGCCTGCCGCACAAATGCAAAGTTGTGAACATGCGCGCTTGTTGACATGAGAGGAACTGACATTGACCTTGCACTCCCGCCTAAACCCTCGTAACTCTTGAGATTGGTGGCCAGAAAGTATCTCAGGCGAAGTACCGCCGAACTCTGTCACCTTTGCGTGTATACGCATGTGCATCGCGCTTACCGAGATTCGAGATGGAAGTCGCAGAGGGGGCGCACATGTACTGTCTTGTAGTCCGTGGTGCTATCTAGAACAGTGTAACCGGCAATCGGACGCGACTTGGCTGCGATTCACGAAATCACGTGACCGCCACCCCAAAATGGATCCTCAGTGTTATCCGATACGCATCGGGCTTTCACCAACGGTCAGGAAATCAGCACAAATTGAGAGCTAACGAGCAGACTGCTTACCTGGAATGTAGTAAGAAAATGGCGTAGTTGAGCCAAAATAATATCAACAGAGCTTGATCAATTCAGAATAGCGCGGGAACGGATTCCGAAGACAGCGTGTCATGCATGGCTCGGAGATTAAATCGAGAGTTGTGGGTCCATGCTAAATTCCTGAGTACCCTGTGCCGGGAAAATGAATAGAAAAAATTCCTGAACGCGAGGTGATGGATCGACGACTACGCACGTTCCTGAACTCATGTATGTATGCATCTGTATCAACGTGAATAAAGAGCCAATATTTCAATGATTGAATAAGATGTGCAGCAATATAAAGTACTTCCTGCTTACCTTAATGTGAGATCGACGATTGCAATGGTATGCCGTTTGAATGTGTGAAGATCAGCGGGGCTGGCGGGACGCCACACTTCGGCCTCGAGATAACAAGTTATGTTGTCAAGCTAATGTCATGAAACGGCGAGACCTGGCGCGATACGATCCTGTTATGGAGAGAGACAGGAAACATGGTATTTGAGGCACGTGCAGCTCCGGATAAGGCACGCAAATGTCCGACTGCCTCTCTTTCCGAATGGCGACTGTTCCATGGCGGTGTGAGCCAGACAACCGGTTAGTCCCATGGGAAAGATGGGTACCCCCCTCCCCTCGTGTCAAATCAACGTACCCCAAACATCCAGAAAAGTAAGAGCACGCTCCACTTCAACGAGGGTGACGCTCACATATCCTAGACCCGCGCAGTAAGAACCCCACGAAAACAGTGAAAAGGATTCCGACCCCGTTCGCATGATGATGCTAGTATGCAGCAGTGTGGGAGTTTGTGAGGAAATCGCGCCATTGAGAATCTGCGCGGGACCGGGAGATGCCTCATATCCAATCAACGATAAGTTCCTAAGTTCCATGAGAGGTATCTCGCCTAGTGCAAGGTAGTGATATGCGAATTCCATCTTGAACCAGAAGCGACTTGTACGTTGTACATCTCGTTTCACGTCGGCGTTCCACGCATCAAAGCATCCTGCATCGACTTGCATCGTGCGGATTCTTACAACCATGAGACCCAATCTGCGTAGGTCAGGGAGTGGCACGAGCCGTCAGGAACTGTTCTGCAGCCACCGATGACGCGACGGACCTTCCTGGCGAGAAAGTAAGAATGTTATCTCGGAAGACCACGCAGCCGGCAGTCGTGGTCGTGCAATCACAAGGGACCCGGTTCGCATAGCGTCGCTGAGACATATCCCTCCCGCTCTCCATATGACAGACAGCTTGCACGCAGTAGGTTGCAGAAGTGCGATATAACCCCAACCAATCATGATGATGGCCTAACCGGAAGGTAGAAGAACAAAGGCTTCGTAACGTTGGAGCGCCCCGAAAAGCTGACACTCGAAATCCCTAGCTTACAGAGTCCGCCAACGCCTCTCAAAAGCCAGAGGTAGCGCTGGACCTCCCGGCGGCATCACAGTGAGAGACCGCAAGCTCAAGATTGCACACGTTCAGTGCGTTAAGAAGGCTACTAGCTCAGGCTGGCAACACCCCCATTGCAGCTTGCCCACATGCGCTCATGTTCGGTTACTCGAATCGAACCTATCGTTACGGCCTCGACTTACTAGCGCGTCGAATGACAAAGGGGGGGAGGGCGGTTTAGGCTGATCAGCACCAAAAATGTGGTCATCATACCTTAACCGTAGTCAGCCACAATTCAGCAGGGTACCTGTCACGACACGCTCCGGAGAAATGTCGCAAGCCTAAGCCAGAAAAGACTTGGCGCACGGAAAGCACCAGAAAACTATGAATTAGAATATGCTATTCGTTAGGCTATTAGTATTTGATACTTAACAATGTACATTACCGGCAACACGACAGCTCGCGGGAGAACTGGGGTATCTGGGACGACTGGAGGGATTTTCGCGGTGTTTCAAGATCACGAACAGTTAACGTTGGATGCGGCGCCGTCACGACCTGAGGATACACAGGCGGAAGGAAGATCAATCGAAAGCCAATAAGTAATGCAGATTTCCATGGAAATGCGAATGTGTAACGTATCGAAAGCAACGATGAGCATGCGTGACAGTGTCGGCGAGTCAGCATGCGAGGACAACAGCCAGCGCGCGTCCCCATAGAGGTGGGATTTTCTTCAACTTGAATTGTTTGATCGCCCTCCCCCAAGTAAAACCCTCAAAGGTGTATTGGTATTCTGCACTATGGACGCGGGAAGCACGAGATTTTCATGAAGATAATCCCCCCTTACCTCAATCTCTGACAAAGTGACTTGATCGCGCTGCGTCGCTGAGTATTACCAAGCAGGTTCAACGCATGAGATATTTGTGTATCTTGATATTCCGTTACATGTCGCATGCATCTCATCTATGTAGAAGGCAGACATTGCAGCGAGGATCCCGTCGAATTAGTAGTCTACAAACTGGCACCGTGCGCAGATGCCAAAGAAACGACTTTTGAATTTCTTGAAACATCATGCATCATGTATCGTTGAGCACAGCACGGAGAGGTGAGAGAGGTTTCATTATCAACAGCTCCATGAGCATGTTCAAAGTGCAGGTACAGTTGTATCGCGGGAAAAAGCTGGAAGTAGTGAAAAAGTACATTCGGTCAAGTTGTGTAGTTGTGTCCGAAAATTGAAATTTCTTCGCGGAGGCCGCAATTTGCCGCTACGGTGTCCGCTAATCACATGACTGTACACCATCCGACACGGCCCGAGCGAACACTGCCAACACACATTGACTCTGAGCTGTTTATGTTTCTTCTTCCTTACCACGACTGACACAATCTAAAGCTCGACGGTGATTATTACAACAAGTTATCCTTCCAGTCTATTTACGACTTGGGTTTGCAAGTCTCCCACGTTCTGGTCCGGCAACCGCCGCTTCAAGGGCTTTGAACCTCCCGAGTCTGCAGATCTTAGCGCCATCTTGATCCCGAAATCTGGTGTTTTCAGACCTTTGTCCGAAAATCTTGTGTACCGACGAGGACGAGGTGCACAGTCTCTTCATTGTCCAACTCGAGTCCGGCAAAGTTCCACTATACCTCATACACTTGTCAGTCTCCAAATTGATAGACTTCAAGTTTTCGATAGTTATGTCCATTCTTGAACCCTTCTGAATGTGTTCGGGATTCACCTTGATCCGTCGCTGCCGTTGTCTTGCGGCCTGTGTGCAGTACTCCTCCTGTTTCCGTAAATACCTCAGTGCGCTCAGTTACCCTAGCTTCCAGTTGATCCCTGTGTCCTGGATTATCTTTATTCAGAAAGCCATTCCTTAGTTACAATTGGCAAAGATCCCCTGGTTGTCGGGCCCGCCTAGCTCAATCGGATAGAGCGTCAGACTCTTATCCCAAATGTAACATGATTTGTGATCTGAAGGCTGCGAGTTCGACCCTCGCGGTGGGCTATAAGGCTGTATAGTCCTGGAGTGCTTTTTGCTTCGCTTCAGGAAGCCAATCTACACAGTCCCTCGTCCTTTGCTTCTGTACAATTAATCAGTTTTTTTTTCCTTGTTTTTGTTTCTGTCTTATCACTTCTCACACTCTATTCTCATCTTTTTGTTTCTTCTTCCGAGTCCATTCTGGTCTTTGTGGATCTCTTTTCAGCATCATTCATCTCTTTTGAACATCTTGTGCCTCATTTTCTGCCTTTCTTTTTTTTTCAGTTGTTATTCCCTATTTTCTCTTATTTTTGTTTCGTTCCCATTCTTCATTTTCGACAAGCACCTCCTGCTTTTTCACTGATTCCTGTGCACTGGCTTCCCTCACGCTAGTTAGCTAAGTTCAAACCCTTTCCTTACCCCGTTATAATTCCCACGTCTTGACTGTTTGGTTGTTCTAGCTTTTGTTCTCGTAGTCGGCGTTGCTCTCCGCCTTGCTATGGTGGTTGTATACCCCGGCCCCAACTCTACCTTCGACCGGGATGATATTGACATGGTCCCCGGTCTCGTCCTGTACCCAGTCTCTTCATGGCAGGTTCGTGGATTCTCATCCTGATCTTGAGTCTTGACCTCCGCATTCCAATTTCCTGTCGCTCACCTGTCAACTGCCTCTTCATCTACCCACCAAAACATTTCACTGTCAATCTTGCACTTCCACATTCTCATGTATATCATATGCAACCACATCAACCCTTTCCCCCTCCTGTCGAGCTTCGTTTCTCACCCTCTCTATCTCGTTGTGCTAATCCCGCATGTGCGCCACGTCTTCTGTGTCCCGTCTTCCCGCCAGCCTTATATATACTTACCGCCACTTATACCTCCTTGTCATCGCTTGGTGCCCGCATTTTCCGATGGATGGATAACTGAAACTGTTGCTTGTCCTGAAACGCAGCAGTCATCCTAATAAGCTTTATTCGTCGCCCCCTTTCTTTGTTTTTTTTTTTCGTTCTGTCACCGGCTTGTCGCCTCGTAGTTAATTTCTTTTTTCTTTACGCCGGTACACACACTTATCCTTTCATTTTCGCCGCTGTCCGTTCTCGCCGAGTTTATCGTCGCTACTTGCAGCGCCCCGTGAAGTCGCCGAGTCGTCTTTTGTTCACCATTTTTATATACATTTTTTTTCTCGTCATATGTACAAATGTGAAAAATGCTCTGCACATCCTCGTCGCAACCCGTCCATAAAATAAATTGGCTACGTTCCTTCCAAAACATCCCCAATTCCCATCATGGCCGCCGCCACCCAAAATCTATTGCATGTAGGGAAAAACCCAGCGAGCCATTACGAGTGAGGAAAAAATAAATGATCGGTCAAGGGTACCGGTAAGCGCCTAGGCAGTTGACATAAGAAGTAACCGCTACTACGTAGCTTGTCGTTTTTCAGCTCGGGAAAAAAGGTGAATCTCTGACCTCGTTCACTTGTGCAAGCCCCCAGCTCCTCCCGCTCGTGACATGAAAATCGTGAGAAACGAAGACGATTAAAGAAAGATGTAACAGCCCATCGCTGATTTGTTCCAACTACATAAAGCGCTCATCACTCAGTTGAGGACTCCTATCTCGTGAAAAATCATTCACATAGTCTTGGGAGCGTACAGTAGTGTGGGAGTGCGCTTCTCGCCGCACTGCCCGTCGTGGGTCGGTGCATTGGTACGGTACACGCCATGTGACGAAGCACTGGCAGCCGCGAAAACGATAGTAAACAAGCAATTGAGCAACCCAGCAAGTCGACGATATAAGCAAGTTGTGCGAGAGATAGCTTCACGGGACGAAGCAAAAAAAAAAAAATCGGGAACGCCATGCGAGACGAAGCATACCCGGCGAAGACCAAGGGGAAGAGAAGCAACGATTTTCTTTTTTTGCCCCAGTAAGCAAGGCAAAAAACAGTAACGTGAACAAGAACGGGTCGGGATAGCCGGCGATAAGGTGGTTGACGAGGGCGAGAGCTTGATATCGATGGGATGATTACCTGATGAGACCAAGAAGGCGATGCAGAGGTTTGATGTGCTGAAACACGACGAGGGAGAACATAGAGGGATGATGGGGGTAATCGAAGACGGGGAGATGTCGCGAACGGGACACCCTTCGGTAATTGAAGTCGCGAAGCGGATGAGAATAGTCGCGAAACACTGAAGCAAGGGACAAGTTGGGAAGATGGAAGGAGAGAGAAGTTGGCAAGATAAAGTACTCAGAGTCCGGGATGGCAGTAGTCGGGAGCACGATGGGCCAAACACCATGAAAGATGGAAGCGGAGGAGGAAGAGGTTAATTCGTTATATATCGGTGGAACAACTCATCAAAACAGGCTTCGTGATGGAGGGTATGCAGCGGATATGGCGATCGATGCAACAAAGGCCGCCGTATGAGACTGCAGAAACAGCGAGTGTGGAGGAAGGCACAAGCATATGAATGCATATTTGACATTTTGCAGTGGGCATATGCATAATACTTATGATACATGTAGAGAGTATGTAGCGGCGAGGCTCAGATGTTTGATGGGTAAAGCATCTGCACGGAGAATTAGGTAGAGAAGTGGAGATATGGAAAGAGACACACGATGCGGACAGAGGCGCCGAAAGCCTTGGGAGGGAGGTTGGAGCGGAATTTTGACTTGACGACGCCCGAGTTACCATGCGGACGAGTCACGCGTCTAGACAGATTCGTAAACAAATGCAAATGACAATGATAAGGAGAACGGACCCCCAGATGACACGGATGTTTGAGCCAGCGATGGCACGCTTTGCTTTGTAGACGTATGCAACGCGCTTGCCAAGGTAGAACTGCGCGGCTGTCTTGTCTGCGACGCCCTCGATCTGGAGAAGGGACGTGTTTGGGCGTGTATTGCGCTTTGCACGCTTGTGGCCGAGCACGCGCCCCTTGCAGTACAGTCTGTCCACCACATCAGTCAACCCAGGTGTGCATCCACGCCGTGCGCACACAGCAGACAGATGACACCCACCTCGTTGATCCCATTCTTCTTCCTAATGTGTCGTGCCGGCGTAGGCTCGTCGTTGTGTGTGTCTGTCGCTCGTCGTCGTCGTTCTCCGCTTGTTGATCGTCTCGCAACCGCCCCCCGCGGCATCAATCAAAACCGATCGATCGTCTAACGTAAGTGACGCGACACGGCTACTGCCATCTCATGGACCGCACACGCGCTGCTCTGCGTGGGTTTGCTCAGCGTACAGGCACCCCTCTTGCCCCTCTTCTTGTTTCCTTTGCTGTCATCCATGAAATCACCGCCGTCATCCCTCTCATCGGTGTCTTTTATGCCGCCAGGTACGCCCTTGTCACTCTATTGCTGCTCATAGCGCTCATCCTATTTGCAGGTCTGCCGGCGTAGGTGAATCGATTTGCAACACCATTCTACGCGAAGACCCTTCCACTGCTTCATCCCCCACCGACACCTCCTACATCCACCGCACTTCACAATACCTCCGTCACACCGCCGCCGCCTGGATCGTCGAGGGCGACCGCTGGACCGCCAGTGTCGGCACCCATTACGGTCTTTTTGGATACCCAAAACTCTCGAAAGAAGACCGTCATAAGCATAAAGTTGACGCAGACCCGACTCAGGATGTCATCCCCACTCGCCACATGGCCGGCGACGTTGCAAACGCTGTCGTCGCTTATGTTATCGTCAAGGTGCGTTTCCGTCTTGCCGTCTCGCGTGATTCACCTTCGTTCTGGTCCGTGTCGAGTGCGTGCCTAGGCGTGCTTCGAATCTTTCATCGTTGCCCATCCTTCCTAACACATCTTCGCTTTTGTATCTCTACTTATTCATACATAGCTTTTGTCCTCATCACCCCCTCTCCCTCTTACTCTTTCCCCGCTTTTACTTCCTCGCTGAACGCTTTCGCATACAGGCTCTACTTCCCGCCCGCATCGCCCTTTCCGTCTACCTTTCCCCCGCGGGCGCGCGTGCCGGCCTCCGTGTATGGGGTTTCGTGAAGCGTGCGTTCAAGCGGTGAGAGGTCTGCGTTGCACAGGGCGGCCAGCTGGAGTGACCTGTCGGTGTTGGCGTCTCTCTTTTGTGCTTTCCTATCATAAGTTATCTGGTCCTTTATGTGGCCTTTCTTGTGCATAGACATCTCCGATTATTTCGTGCCAGGGCTATCTATTGCATAGAAATCAATATCACACATAATACACTCTCTATGTAAACAACGAATCAAACCGATGATTGCTGTTTCGACAATTACACAAGATCACATTGGTTGTTCAGTTACACCCAGCTCCGCCTCTCTCATCTTCTCCAACTCATCCCACGGCGGTAGGCCGAGGACGACAGGAAGCTCATCCCAATACCCCCTCCGCGCCGCCTCACTCTCCTCACCGACAGCCTTCACACACGCGTCACACGCACGTATGCCCGGCGCCGCCGCGTCGATCAACAGCCATAGCATATCCGTGTACCTCAGCGTGTGCAACACACAGTCCGCCAGCGCATCGGCGCCCTCGACGAACACCGCGCGCAACACCTCCCAGTCTGCCTCCCCTGCGCACGTGTGCGTGTCGACATCGTGCAATGGGTAGCGTTGGAGGTGGAGCGTCATGCGCGCGAGATGCGTGAATTTGTGTGCGAACGCGATCAGGCACGCGCTGCGGTCGGGCGCGGAGATGTAAGACGACAAGATGATGTCCGAGGTGAGCCGCGACATGGTCGCGGAGAGGGTGTAGAGGTACGTGCTGTAGGGAATGATCCACGGCACGCGCGCTTCGTAGGCGCGGCTGATGAGGTCGGACACCGGTACGGTAGAGTGTCGCGCCGGCCCGGGAAACGTGTCGATTTTCAACCCCGAGCTCAGTGCGCGCAGAGTCTTGGAGAGGGTGGGGAAGGATGTTGGGAAGAATGTGTCGAGATGGGCTATAGCGATGCGGCGCAGCCGCGTGACGTCGTACACCGTGCTGAGCCGCAGGACAGCGAGGATGTGCGTGATGGGTGGTAGGGGGGAGCTTTCGGGTGGTAGAGAGGGA